GACAAAGATAGTCCAAGGAATAAACAAAATATATTTCAGACTATGTTTGTTTAGTATAAAAATATTAAAAAAGGAGGATTTTCTATGAATTTTATTCAAAAATTATAGTTTTTAAAAGGTTTGAAAAATGCTTCGAACGTAGTTAAAAAAAGAATACCCATTAGGTTATCTGGTCTAAATTAAAGAAAAAAACATAAATTGCAATATGCGTTAAATGGAGTCTTCAAACTCATTTTCTTCATGACATGATTCACCACCACTTTCTTCTAGTTCTTCTTTACTATCTGATGACAATAATATTCTGTTGCCATATGAGTGTCATCGGCGGGTAAATCTTCACCTATTTTTAGTGGCGACTACTTTCTCTGGAAATTCAAACCGTAGTTGGACTGCTTTTGCCGTCTAATTTTTATGTTCCTTCCTTAAATTAGAAACTGTAGCATATGCCAGAACTTTCGAGGTGTAAGAATCTCTAATTTCTAGAAATAAATTGATTTTTAATCTTTGCCATTAATTAAAAGCAATAATGCAATATTTGCAGCATTATGTAGATAAAAAAACATGTTTTTTTCTGTAAGATATTATAAATTAATTCCTTGGCAATATACAGGGTGTTTCAAAACAAATGCGAAAAACTTCAGGGGGTGATTCCTTGTTCAAAATAACGGGTAGTTTGCTTCATAAACGTTGGGTCAAAAGTCAACCATTAGGGAGATATTGCGGTACAAAGACGGCGGAAAAATAATGTTTTTATTTTTTATCTTGAAAACGAAAAGAGATAGACTAATAAAATTTTATGAAAGCATTACTGTTATGAAAACACACTTTCAGGTAATTTTTTCACTTTTTTAAAGTTAGTGGAAGGGGTTGAAATAAACTACCCCTATCATTCTTGTTAACGAAATTTAAAGAAAAATCTTATCAAACACATGCAAAAAAATTAATTTGGATAGTTTAGTTTGTTTAGAAACTTTTTTATCTCTTGTATTTTTTTGATAAAACTCACCGATTTGAAATTAAAAAATAAAATGTAAAGCATTACATGTCAGGACAAAAAACATTTTCTGATAAAAAATCTACTGGGCTGCTGTAATTTTTTTAGGAAAAAATCTAGTCGGCCGCTGTTACTTTTTAGGATGTTCCTAATATTATTTTATTTGACATTACTCTACTGCAATACGTTATGATCTAGATGATTATTATTATCGTTATTATCACTAGATTCTTAATCTAAAAATGTTTTTTGTCCTGACATGTAATGCTTTACATTTTATTTTTAATTTCCAATCGGTGAGTTTTATCAAAAAACACAAGAGGTAAAAAAGTTTCTAAACAAACTAAACTATCCAAATTAATTTTTTGCATGTGTTTGATAAGATTTTTCTTTAAATTTCGTTAACAAGAATGATAGGGGTAGTTTATTTCAACCCCCTTCCACTCATTTAAAAAGTAAAAAATTACCTAAAAGTGTGTTTTCATAACAGTAATGCTTCCATAAAATTTCATTAGTCTATCTCTTTTCGTTTTCAAGATAAAAAATAAAAACATTATTTTTCCGCCATCTTTGTACCGCGATATCTCCCTAATGGTTGACTTTTGACCCAACGTTTATAAAGCAAACTACCCTTTATTTTGAACAAGGAATCACCCCCTAAAGTTTTTCGCATTTGTTTTGAAACACCCTGTATACCTTTGGTCTCTTTATTTTTTTGGGACTTGGACAATTCTGAAAAAAGATTCTTCTTGAAGGGCCAGGGTCATCAAAAGATTGATTCTCTTCCATTTGAAGTAAATTTTTATTCTGCCAAAGACAACTGTTGGAAATAAAACTGCTCCAAGTATAATTACATTTCCTCCACTTTTCTGACCATTTATAAACAAAATTTTCAATTTGCTTTTTTTTCGATATGTTAGGAATATTATTATCACACAAAAATGAAATAATTTCATCAATAATACACATTAAAACACATTTATTTCGCAACTTGTTACATAAATAGCTATTTTGATATTGTCAATCACGTCGCAAAAATTACTACTTTTGTGACGTTTGAAAAAAAAACGTTTTTCTTTAAACACAAATCTGTTAGTATCAAAACTTAATGTTTAAATCATTCCTATATGTTTCCTTAATATCTCCACCGCTAAAAATAACATGCGGGAGTGATTCTACAAATGCCGTTCTGAATTTCGATGCGAGACTCACTGGACTTATACGCTGATTCCCTGGGATATAGGCGAAATACTAAAATGTCACGTGTTGCAATAATGTCACGTAATTTGACAGTCCAGAGAAAAATGCTGTTTGATTGCTTGATAGAGAATTATTGGTGTAACACATTTGAACAGACACCCGGATATAGTAAATCATTCAATTTATATACTGAATGGAACCATTAATATACAGTATGTCTCCCGATCATCTCTACAAGAGGGAAATCTTTATTATTAAGGATTTTTTTTTGTAGAACTTTTTGTTTGTTTTAAAACGTTTAATTCTGTTTATGCTTTTCAAATTTCCACAGAGGAAAGTAACCAAAAAACCAAACCAAACTTCAGCATATTCTACAGATATGTATAAAACTAATAACTAAACACTATACCCTGTATAAAACTACTGAGTAAAAAAATATACATTTACGACGTTTTTTACGTAAAAAAAGGTCACTAGGTAAAAATCGCTACGAGTAATGGTTCTCGAGATATTTGGAACCGAAATTATCAATACCTGTCATCATTGACATAAATTAAACATTTTATTAAATAGTTATTAGACTGAAATGATAAATTTGAAACGTTTTTTTTATAGCAACTGTTAAAATTGCCTTATATCTATTAAAAATAGTAGATAAAATAGTACTTTAATAAAAACTTCATTTCTTCTCGCACGTTTTTTAATTGCTTCCATTTTTGACAATTTGTTTATTTCTTTTCGTAAGTTATTCGGGAGTTAAATGGAAGTAGTTTGGATATGGCGTTTGTCGCCTCAGCCTGAATATCTGTTGGTAATTTACTTATTTCGTTTTGAGCCATTTCTGGCTCAAATTCAATCAGCAATCGACACGAAAAAGAGAATTAAAAATATTGACTCATAACTGACAGCTAAAGAGACAGCTTTATTTATTTGTCAAATTACATAGATACCAACGCCAACCCAGCACAATATAAAAAACAACTATTTTATGCCAAAAGTTCAACAGAAACTGTTTTATCATCATTTTTTCGAAGAAAAATTTATAATTAATTTAAAAAAATAAAATGTTTCAAAATTTCTACTCAACTTGTTTATTTTTTCTCAATAATGCCATGTATCCACTCTAAATATCTTGAAAACGGTTGCTCGTAGCGATTTTTACCAAGAGATATTTTTCACGTAGAAAATCGTGAAAATGTAAATTTTTTCACTTAGTAGTTTTATACAGGTACGGACAAAAAGTTATTACTTTTCAAAACCATTAAAACACTTCTAGATGACGCACAGAGTGGCAGAATTAAAAAAACCTGGCCAGAACTGTGGGTAGGAAAAAAGTGATTGAATTTGGTGTCAATCTTTGGGAAAATAGCTACATCGCTGGTTTTTTCAAAGATTAATACGAAATGAGTAATTGTGTGTGAATGGTGAAAATTTATAGGAATAAAAAATAGATTACCAAAAAATAAAGCTTAATCCACATCCATTTCACTTTCTTCTGTATTTTCACAATCTGATGATTTGTTATGTTGAACATCACTGTCGAAATCTTCCTGGTCTTGACCTTCAGAATCGTCAACTGCAGGAGGCACTAACATTTTTATAACTTCCCCGTCGAAAGATCTAATTTTCTTTTTTGGTAGCTTCCTAAGATAAGGGGTCAGATGATAATAAGAGTCTATTAAAATCATCTTCCATAGTTTGCTTCCTGGAAAATCTTCGGGAGAACCCTTCACGGTATTTTTTTATCGTTTTGTTCAATGCTTGCGCTTCTTCAGTCATTTGACCAATAAGTAACAGAAACGAATCTATTATTTCAGCAGAGTGATATAATACTTGTATGCACTGTAGTAGGCATATTGTACCAAGGATACGTCTAGATAAGCAGCTTAGTTGTATCTAGTCAGTATTCTTTAAATAAATCTGTTTTTTTATGAAATGAACTGGATAGAGTTTGAAGTATCACTTTTTGACGATAAATAACCGTTTGGTCTATGCCTGTTACTTACATTACAAGTTATTGTTACATACATTCCAAAACTTTTGTGAAAATATTGGAAATTCAAGAACTGTTTCTAACCAGCTTTGGTTTTGAGATATAAGTCTTTCCCGTATGTACCGGGCTGCTTCATATTTCTGTTTGAATAATGAGTTGAACTGAGAAAGTTTTCTATGAATCAATACGATTGATCTTCTGGGCACAAAACTATAACTTACTTGGCGCTGTAATATCCATTTCTAAACAATAAACGGCTACCACTTTTTAATTATTTGAATCAAGCGTATCAAAATTCGAAATCTATCGATGTTCACTAGCAAACACGCTTGATAAAATAATGGACATACTAAACTGATAAAAAATGAGAAATATTTTGTACCAATTCAAAGGTAGATGCCTTGTGACCCGATTTAGATTAAAAATAATGTATTTACTGATAAAATTCGGAAACCAGTTATGACCACCTTTTTTAAATTCTGCCACTCTGTGTGACGCCCTCTACAAATATGAGTCATATTGACATCAAAATCAGATTTCTCATATCAAAAAACTGCCAGACACCAATTTTTATCCAAATATTGATGTTACTTCAACAATAATTATTTGGAAACAGGCGAAATAAAAATGAAACTTCAACACCCTGTATCTCCGAAACCAAGCATTTTAGGACATATTATACTTATACGATCTTTATTACTTATTTTTATCTGCAGAATATGCTGTCTAAGTTACCGCAATACAGTTCGGACCATCCTGTATTTTCTTCTATTATTTCCATTGTTAATATTATTTTTTCTGTATTTATTTTAGTTTGTTGTTCCACCTGGTATAATACTAACAGTAAACGCCTTTAAACACCACCTTTCAGAGCATCCCCACTTAAACCGAGTAATTCAAAACATTGAAGACGTCTTTTACAAGAAAAACGAAGGCAAACGGGAAGAAGCCTGTGCCGAGTAAGTACTTCACCGCAAATTGAAATCGAATCGTTTAAATTAAAACTTTATAAACCTTCAGCGAAGTCATTTTAAAATAAATCAGCTTTTGGATGCTCTTAACCGGAAACTGTTTTTGTAAATTGAGCTTTTGCTATTAACTGTAATTAACTGTGGTTAAATATTAATATTTTACCTTTACAGCAAGTTTTAAGTATGATTTCTCTGGCTTTTTGGTTACATTTTCGTATAATTATATCAGTGGCGGAGTGTATTTTACATTTTTCCTCAATATTGTTACGTTTGTAGTGGGTTCTGTGGTAATCGCAAAACAATGTCCGATGCACGTAATCAACTTTGAGTGACAAGCGATGGCGACAGCGCTGCCAGATTGTGATGGATTTATGAGATGAATCTTAATTTAAAAGTGACAAACAATATATTTATTATATAATTTTTTTAAGATTTTTACGTTTTATTTTTAATTTAATAACTAATATTTTAGTAATTAATTGATTTATTTGTTTTATAACTTATTTTACTTACCTCATATTGGCAAAAACTAGTCCATTATGAAGGTTATTCTAAGCGTTATTATGGGTTATTTACTGTTGTACAGGGTGGGTCAAATTCGACGCTTTTAAATGGAAACACCCATCTCTATAGAAGACAGACAAAAACTAATATCGGTGTCTGGAGCTCAATTTTTGTCAAAAACATCATGGTGAAAACCGCATATCGATATCTGTTACCGTTTCGGAGTTAATAAGTTTATTTTCATACATGAGCATAAAAATGTCACTGCAAGAGGTGTAAGACTCAGACATAGATTGGAGTAAGTACGATTTTAATTGAATGTACTCATTCACTAAATGCTCGTCTACGTCATCGGGATAGTAATCAATAATATGAAGTGCAATTTCCAAATCTATGTTTTCGATATTTTTGTCTTGCAAATCCATTAAAAATTTGAATTTTTTGCTATATGTCTCATAGACTTGTCTCCTTTTATTTAAATCCATAATCAGCTTATCCAACGCAACTTTTAACGTGTCTCTTTAAATCTTTCTGCGCCGTATACTGAGAATTCACCTGTAGACTTATCTGAAAATTTTGGGATAATGCGTCTATTGTTTATGTAATTGTAGTCTATTATTACACTAGTACTTAATTTTTTAGCTTTTTCGTCGTATTCCTGTAACATTTGATCTGACTGATGTCGTTTGTTGCTCACAAAGTCTTTTAAAGAAACAATTAACTTGTTGCCTTCACAAATGTCTAAACCAGGGCTCTGTATTTTTTATTTACTAAATGAAATCTCTCCAAAACTTCTTCCCAAAAGATAATCAAAATTGCAGTCTCGAGTTTCGCCATTTTATTGAATAAATTTCGTGCCTCTTTCCGGAAATCAACTTTCTCAACCTCATTTTCGCTGAAACTTTTGAACATTTTCATAATGTCATCATAATTATTTTTTAAGGCTTTGACAGCATCATAGTGGCAAGGCCATCTTGTCTGGCTTAAACTTTTAACCTGAATTTTAATTTTATTTCACGATTCAACAGTTCCCACCTATGGGTCTATTGCTTTTCGCGGGGCCTGGGGGCCCCTTGTAACCTCGAGGCCCTGGGCTGCAGCCCAAACAGCCCGTAGGTAGATCCGGCCCGATCCGGATCCGATTTATTGAGGAACGTCACTGATTTAAATATTAATGTTATGGCTTTAAATAAAGTTTTTAATAGAACTTATGTTTAAAAGGGCTGCGGATGCTATTAAGAAAGGACATATTTCTGTGGAGTTACTAAAATTTATTAACAAAGGACTTGATGATGTAAAACGGAGTTGTAGTGAAGATGGAACTGGTAGTATAAGTTGGGCAGTACGTTCCTCAGCTATAAGTTAGTATGCCTTTCTACATTTTACATTCTACATACCAATTTTACAACTTTTTATAGAATTTAACTGACATAAATGAATATTTTAGGTGAAGATTCTGAAGAATTATCAGCAGCTGGTCAAAACGAGACCGTTCTAGGATGCACCACAGAAGAAAAACTGAAACAAGCCATTTTAACTTGTTGGGCATCGCTGTATACGTACCAAAGCGTTCAATATAGATGGTAAGTAAGAATTTTAAGATTGATAATGTAGAAACTTCATTTATTTTGCTCCTTGTATACAGGGTTGTTCACCACATACGACACGGAGTATTGTAGCTAAACGATTAGATTTTTACAAATTGTAAGTTTTGAGTTCATTGAAGGACTATTAGAGCTACAATTTAAAAATATTTTTACAAGATACAGAGAGTCCCAAATAAGTAAAAAATATTATAGTTGTATTTTTTTAAATGGAACACCCTGTATATTATTCTATTTTGGGATTCTACGATCGAAATAAAGGTAAATTTGATTAAGGTTTATCACACTTAAACCTTACCGTTTTTGAAATATTTTCAATTTTATGAAATTCCAGTAAAAATTTTAAGGCTTCATTTCTCCAAGGGTATCAAAGTTTTTAATGCTAAATATTTACTGAAAATTATTCATTGATTAGATATTGTGTTGCAATAATAAAAATTTTACTGCCTTATACATAATTTGTACTAAATAATTACTAGCTTTAAATGGCAATAACTTGGTTAATTTAAATAGAACACCCTATATATTTTGCCTGAAACAGATGCACAATTTAATTGTCTATCAAATTGTGTTATATCATTTTTTACCTATCTCTTGAAGTTTTCATAGAAAATGCATTTTCTTATAATTTCGACCTCATTTATACCCATGGAATATTGACATTTCAGATTTTTTATAGCACCATATATGTACAAAATGTACAGGTGGTAAATATTGCAAGTTCATTGGCATACAAAAAAAAACTATTTAAATCTTTGTAAATGAGTAAACCAATTAATTATACCACCATTATTTGCGACCAAAAACACCAAAAATTAGTTAATTACATACTTTTAAATTGTTTTAATTAATAAAGTATTCTAAGTAAATGTGGATTTGGCCCAGAAATCAATATAAAAATAAGTTATGAAAATAAACGTCTATGTTTTTATAAATAAGCATTCGTCAAAAAATGAAATAAAATTTATAAGGTGTTACTTTTTACCACACTGTCTAATACACACACAAAATACAGTTTTTTAGTATTTGGAGCAATTATTATTAATCAATGTAAACAGTCAATTAATGTAGTTTGAATACTGGGATCATATTAATTGGTCCTCTTTAACAAAAAAATATTTAAACGGTATTTTTAATTTTTTAATTAAATAAGCCACTATATCGACAATTTCAGTAACCCTTTGAAAATTTGTTACATCTTTAAAAATAAGCTAAAATGTCAATATTCCATGGGTATAGTGATAAATGAGGTCTAAATTATAAGAAAATTCATTTTCTATAAAAACTTGAAGAGATGGGTAAAAAATGGTATAATACAATTTGATAGACAATTTCATTGTACATCTGATTCACTTAAAATATATAGGGTGTTCCATTTAAATTAAACAAGTTATTGCCGTTTAAAGCAAGTAATTATTTAATATGAATTTTTGGACACTCTGTATAAGGTAGTAAAAGTTTTATTATTGCAACACAATATCTGATCAATAAATAATCTTCAGTAAATATTTAGTATTAAAAACTTTGATACCCTTGGAGAAATGAAGCCTTAAAAATTTTACTGCAATTTCATAAAATTGAAAGTATTTCATAAACGGTAGGGTTAAAGTGTGATAAACCTTAATCAAATTTACCTTTATTTCACACGTAGAATCCAAAAATAGAATAATATACAGGGTGTTCCATTTAAAAAAATACAACTATAATATTTTTTACTTATTTGGGACACTCTGTATCTTGTAAAATATTTTTAAATTGTAGCTCTAATAGTCGTTCAACGAACCTAAAACTTACAATTTGTAAAAATCTAATCGTTTAGTTACAATACTCCGTGTCGTATGTGGTGAAGAACCCTGTATAAATATTTATTTATCAGGCAGCATGGACTCCCAATTCGAACTGATATGGCGGTTGTTATACAGAAAATGGTACCTTCTGATTCGGCTGGTGTTTTGTTTACTTGGCATCCTTCTACAAACGATCCGTCACAGATGGTCATAACCTCAAATTATGGGTTAGGCGAGGTAAGTACACACCGTGCTGGCAACTCGTACTTTTGTGTCGGTGTTTACACGTGTGGAAGTAAATAGCATAAAGATCTTATTAAGTCGGAGTGAGAGAAACGCGATCGTGTGCTGTTGCGGCGTTGCCACATTTCTCCGGTACGTCTTTTCCTATCAAGTAAAGTAAAATCACGATCGCGAACCGCTTATTTTTAAAAGACTTTAGTAGGGGTAGAAGGCCGATTCTGCATCAGGAGGAGGACGAGCAGAGGAGGAGGAGGAGGCGTAAATCAGCTAAGAACAGTTAAAATACGCTAATAAACAAGAATAAACAGGTTTGAACCGCTTTGAACGGCTTTTTAGCTTAAAACAACAGACCTGTTAATTTTTTGTTCAGACCCGTTTATTTCTGTTTTAAAGCTGTTCAAAGCGGTTCAAACCTGTTTATTCTTGTTTATTAGCGTATTTTAACTGTTCTTAGCTGATTTACGCCTCCTCCTCCTCCTCTGCTCCTCCTCCTCCTGATGCAGAATCGGCCTTCTACCCCTACTGACTTTTTTTTTGAAAAGATAACTAGATAAAATCATTAGATTTCTGAGCATATGAAATGGAATTATAAGGATATCGTTAGGGTGTCCATATTTTTTATAACGAGAAAACTTTCTAACACATAACACGTGATAACTCAAGAACCACTTTAGATATTGAAACATTTTTTTTATTTTGAAGTTCGGACCTTTTATAAGGTATTTAAATTAGAAATAATTGATAGGCTTGTTTTTTTCAATTCAAAGTTTTTAAAAAAAACCGTGCATTTACTTTTAGTGCATAGCCATTTTCAATCGTGTAACTTTTTTATTTGTACACATTTTCACATACTGTCTGCGAAGAAAATATAGCAGAAATATTATGAAAGTTTTTGAAAAAAAAACTACAATCAATTATTATTTCTAATCGATTTCGAGATATCGATTTTTGAATTCAGAGTTCTAATAGCGCGACCACTGTCAAACACCAACTCAATTTCACTTATTTTTACCAAAAGTGCAAGTGTTTCTAACTTGCATTTAAAAATTTACAAGCTGTAGGGAAAATGACAAGGACTCGTTAATAAATAAACAAATAAAATATCACGAGACGCAATTAAATCGAAAAAAGCTGAACGCATGATATACACCCTTCTCTAGAATTTTAAGTACTTAGGAAATTAGATTGGGTCGACCGTGACAAATCTGCTGTATGCCCTTCCACATCTCCTAGCAATATGCACATATTATGCATATATTCTCGGTTTATTTCATACGTTTGGCAACGTTTTTACTGTGCTGGGTTCAGTACATTATAAATGTATTGTACTCTTCTGTTTTACATTGCCTTTATACTGTTTCAGAGTGTTGTCTCTGGAGTATCGGAACCAGATACGTTCATTTTAAATAGGAATTACTCAGGACAAGTGTGCTTGTTAGATCAAGTCATAGGATCAAAAACCAAAGTATGTATATAATACAATATCATCGAAAAAAAAACGGCGTCAGCAATGGCTTTGAAATAAATATCTCTATCATTTTATATTATGTAAAATTATATGGGGAAAGTCATTGACTGTCATTTCCAAGCCAACTGAATGCCGTATTTTATTCAATTATACTTTATATTACCGTTTTTCTTCAAGGTGATTACATTAGGTGATGATGGTACCAAAGAAACTGATACGATCAACGATCAAAATGAAGGTTTTCTGTTGGTTGAAAAGAATGGCAAGTAGAACTACTGTAAAATTTAAAAAAATTATGCAACTCTACCTTAGAAATTCCCTACGTTCGAAAAAAAAACGGCGTCAATGACGGTTGAGGAATGACAATCGATGATAAATTTGGTGAGGTCAAGTCCTAGATTATCATTTTCTTGGTCCGTATTTTTCATTATCTTTTAATGGCCCTTACTTATTTTAATACTGAGTAAAGATGATTTTTAAATGGTGTTCAGTAAATTTAAAAATGCCAAATTTTAGTAAATGGCCGTCTAGAGATTGACCTCGGCAAAATTATCATTGATTGTTATTTTCCAGCCGTGTTTGACGCCGTTTTTTTTTAATCATACGGTATCTATCCCTGAAATACACTGTATACTTTTAACAATAAATCATTATTGTGACTAAAGTATTAGTAATTACATAGAGCAAATACATATTAGAAATATATAAAAAAAACCTACAGCTAAGCACACTTTCAGTATAAATTAAATTATAAACTGAGATAAATTAGAGTCCTTAATTACCAACAAATTAAAGTAATGTGGTTTGAATTTATCAGGATTTATTTGTTAATTGTAGGTGATCAAAACTGGAGTATCACCAAAGAACAAGCGGTAAAACTGGGAAAAATTGGTCTTATGCTAGAGGAACTATTCGGAGGACCAAGAGACATTGAATGGGCTTTCTATAAGGTTATCTAATAAGAACATTAATAAATATGTCTAATTTTCTTAAAGAGTTCATAAAAAATCTACCAAATTATCGTTTTGTTTAGAGTAAACCAAATGATTTTTTACAGAATAGGCTGTACTTGTTACAATCACGACCGATCACTACACTCACTACATGGACGGAATATGAACTCACTCACGAATTTGACAACCCGGTGAACACAAAGAACAGCGTCTATACTATGGCTAACGTAGGAGAGGTATGTTTTATTTACTATAAAGATTAGGGATTTAGATTGATGGGCACCTTTTTTTCTCTGAAAATATCACTCATAATTCCCAATGCCACTCATTTTATTGATTGTCAAAGGATCTTCTACAGTGCTAATATATTTTAGGTATACCCGTTGGCAATCAGCGCTCTGGGACAAACCGTTGCTGAGATGCTTGACAGAGGAGTCCAGTTAACTCTAAAAAAGACTAATACGTTTACTAGGTCTTCTGTTATATGCAGTCACAATCGACTATTGATTGATATAGTAATGGTAAGTAGGTTTCTGTAAAATATTAAAACTAGCGTGTACCCGCGACTTCGTTTGCGTCGAATTAATCACTTGTAATGGTGATGATAAAGCAAAGCAAGAATTTCCATTAACACACAAACTGGATAAAATTTTCTCACATTTATATCAGCATGAGAAAAAACAATATGGCGATATTATTATATAACTTGGTCATATTTGAGGGGTAGTTTCATCTCGTTGGAATTCGACTTTCGAAAAATCCGTTTGCCAAAAATAAGCTTTTTACTTGAAGCAGTTTAAGCAGAATCGTGGTTAATCAATTACCCAAGTTTTTGGAACATCCTGTATGATTTTTTAAAAATTTTCAAAATATGTAAAAAAACAAAATTAATTATGCGTGTCCAAGCGTTTTCCCGAAAGACTAACCGTTTTTTAAATAACAAATATTGTAATATTTGAGGGGCGTTTTCACCCTCTTGGAATTTGAGATTCGAGAAACCCCTCCATATCGAACCTCTACACCCCACAGTTAATCCGTTTGACAAAAATCAGCTTTAAACGTCGAGCAGTTTAAGCAGAATCGTGATTACTCAATTGATTGGTCATATTTTATGAAACACACAAAATATGGAAAACAACAAAATAAAATATACGTGTTTAAGAGTTTTTCCGAAAAGCTCACCGGTTTTTAAATAAAAAATATTCTAATTTTTGAGGTGTGGTTTCACCCCCTTAGAATTCGAGTTTCGAAAAATCCCTTCTTATCGAACCTCTACACCCTAAAGTCAATCCGTTTTTCAAAAATCAGCTGTTTACGTCAAGCGCTTTAAGCAGGATCGTGATTAATCAATGACCAGATTTTTCAAAACACCCTGTATACATTTTTAAAAAAACTTAAGATATGTAGAAAAACAAAATAAAATATACGTGTTTAAGCGTTTTTTCGGAAACTTGACCGTTTTTTAAATAAAAAATATTGAAATATTTGTGGTGTGGTTTCACCCCCTTGGATCTGCAATTTCGAAAAATCCCTTATCGAACCTCTACACCCTAGAATCAACCTGTATGCCAAAATTTAGCTTCTTACGTTGAGTGGTTTGAGCAGGATCGTGAGTAATCAGTGAGTCAGTCACTTAAGGATTTTATATATTAGTATAAAAAATAATATATAAAAAGGATAATCATATCCTCAAAAATTATGTACGTATTTTTATGTTAAGTTTTATATTCTTTTAATGTACGTAGTACTATTGCAATCAAATATCGATTATATCAATTGATGTAGTACTGAAAAAAAGTTTTCTGTAATAAATCAAAATTAAAATCAAAATATAAAATGCGAATTATATTCTCAACAATTATGCACATATATTTTTATTAAGTTTTATTTTTTATTGCTCCTGCAATTCATATGAAATAATAATTTTAATTTAAGAAAATACAGAGACTAGAAATTTCAGATGGAATATTAATATTTTCATATTTCCTTTCGCTATTTCTATTTTATATTACTTCGTATAATGCTGATATTGCCTTGCTTTGTAAATTTAAAGAAAATGAATTTTGCTACATTTTGATATTTTCTTTGAACACTAAAAACATTTCTTTTATTTTAATATTTTTTTTTGCTATAGTAAAATAAAATAAATGAAACGATAAGTTGAAAACTCGTCTTATCCCAAAAACTTTGTTTCGAGATAATATGCAAAAACTGTTTTAGGATATGTTTAAAGTCATCATAGTTTCATAGTTGTCGATTTTCGAAAGAAATCAGTACATGTATATTGTTTCGTATATTTTTCACTTTATTGATTTTATGGAAAGCACTGTTCAATAAAATGTTGTATCCTATGTTATAGGGCTTGTTTCTCTCTACAATTTTCTGCCTCACAATGTACCGTTTGTGTCGGGGAAGGGTTCATAGTTTCATAGTTGTCGATTTTCGAAAGAAATCAGTACATGTATATTATTTCGTATATTTTTCATTTTATTGATTTTATGGAAAGTACTGTTTATTAAAATGTTGTATCCTATGTTATAGGGCTTGTTTCTGTCCACAATTTTCTGTCTCATAATGTACCGTTTGTGTCGGGGAAAAGATCATAGTTTCATAGTTGTCAATTTTCTAAAGAAATCAGTACATGTATATTATTTCGTATATTTTTCATTTTATTGATTTTATGGAAAGTACTGTTCATTAAAATGTTGTATCCTATGTTATAGGGCTTGTTTCTCTCTACAATTTCCTGTCTCACAATGTACCGTTTGTGTCGGGGAAGGGATCATAGTTTCATAGTTGTCGATTTTCGAAAGAAATCAGTACATCTATATTGTTTCGTATATTTTTCACTTTATTGATTTTATGGAAAGCACTGTTCATTAAAATGTTGTATCCTATGTTATAGGGCTTGTTTCTCTCTACAATTTTCTGTCTCACAATGTACCGCTATTTTACAAAAAACGTGTCCATTGTGTGGAATCATTGTTTTGTATCTTTTTTTTCTAGAAATAAAAATTAATATTTAATTTTTAAAGAAAAAAAATATAAAAATAATTCGGATAAGGCGAGTTTTGTTGCAGTATGATGAATATCGCGGATATTTGCATCCTAACTTGATTTAGAAACTGATAGAAATTAATAGAAACTTAATTTGTAGTGAATTTTATATAGGAATAGGCGACTGTTGCTGGAGTTTTGACTATATTTATGTATATTTTAGGGTCCGCAATTAATATATGTCATTAGGCCATTTTTTTTAAATAAATAAGGAGGGTTTTGCAACTTGACGCCTCATATGATTTCGATACATAACATTCTAAATAATTATAAAAAAAAATCGTATCTAGTTTTGAATTAAAATGACAACAAACAGCTATCAATAAAATGTACACATTTTTACTGGATATACATATTATCTATTCGTTATATTATGATCAATGTATTTTATAGTCTCTACACAAAAATGCCAAACACGAAATTGAAATGGCCTCGAAAATACTGGATCTGGCAATATTTGGACATGTTGTCATTAACGAGAGTATTAACCAAATGGTTTTGGATAGACTGGGACCCACGACATCTATAACTATGGCAATGGAATTCTACAAGATGGTGTAAGTTATTTCTATATTCTTCAGTACTACAACTAGTGTTTTCTCCAGGTTCATACTATTAACAAACCTCAAATTAGTGTCACTTAGTAGCACTGTCTCTGATTGCGACTACTAAAAGCAACCCTAGAAAATCTCTAAAATAGAGGATGTTTAAAAAAACTTGAGACATCTCTCGTGGGGAGATTCCTCAGCAAAATAAAACACTAAATCACCACAATACACCAAAACACTATTATTTTTACACTGGACGCGCGTATCGCTAACTATGTTAGCATCATCAGCAGATGATTATAAACTAAAATACAATCTACAATTGGAGCGTTTATATACTCGCTCAGTGGGCACAGAGTGGGCGTGGCAAGATCTAGCCAACCGAGTCAGAACCCACCGAGCGTAACAGTTAGATTTCCGCCACTACAGTAGTAGGAACAAAGAACTTGAAGGAATTGGACCGTTGTCTCTGTTCATACTATCTTTACATTTATTAATTCTGATGCTTTTATATGTATCTAATTGCCTGTAATTTGAGACTTGTTTAAGTAATTTTAAGTTATTAAGATCTATACAATGTTCTTTATCAACAATATGTTCGGCAACGCAAGATTTACCAGGTCTACCATATCTTATCTGAGCTAAATGTTCTTTAAATCTAGTTAATATTGATCTTCTAGTTTGCCCAACATATTTCTGATTACAATCTTTACAGGAGATTTCATAAATACCCGACCTTTCCAGTAGAGGTGTTTTATCCTTTGGATTACTTAATAATTGTTGTAATTTATTATTAGCACTATTCACAAGTTTATAATTGACATTCTTAAAAATTCCTTTTAGACCACGGGATAACTGTTTATCAAACGGTATTGAAAAATATTTTGACGTATCTTTCTCCACTTGAAAAGTCGAATTTTCAGAAATCATTAACCTATATCTACGTTTTCTAATTATTTTATCAACTAGTGAAGGATAATATCCATTACACTCACTACATACCTAATGTAATCTCTTTCTATTTCATATCTTTCGTTGGAAAGTGGAAAACTAAGTAATCTATGAACTAAGAAATTTAAACTAGACATTTTATGTTCAATACTATGATATGATTCATTAGGAATATATCCGCGTGTAGTGGTATTTTTCCTATAGATATCAAATTCCAGGCAATTATTAGTATTTCTAATAACTAGTACATCTAGAAATGGTAATCTGTCGTTGTTCTCAATTTCATGTGTAAATTTAATGGAAGGAAAACGATTAGAAATAAAATTATCTATGATGTCTGAATGTGTGTCAAAAACAGCAAAAATATCATCCACATACCTAAACCATACTCTTGGAAAATACTCAAACTGATTCTTAGCCTCCACTTCAAACAAAAAAAAAGATTCCTCACATAAAAATAAGATTTATTTTTTATATCAATATAGTCCGATTCTGCTTTGTTTCGTAGATACAGGGTCTTAATATTTTTTCGATTGATTATAATTTTATCATCATATGTACATCATCATATGACGTACATATGATGAATCTGTGGATACTTTTTTAGTAATAAAATATGTAACATCAAATAGTAACTTCTACCCTCAAAATTTCATTCGAATTATTAAGCACTTGGAAGAATATTATAATAATTCTAGAAAAATATAAGACTTTAACCCCCTACGAAAGAGTTAGTACCAACGAAACAAAGCAAAACCGGACCTATGTTAAAACAAAAAATAAATCTTATTTTTAAATGAGGAATCTCCCCACGAGAGATAGCACAGGTTTTTTGAAACATCCTGTATAATTTAACCATTTAATTTCCCCAGGACAATTTTATTTTTAATACCCAAAATATTTTACATTTTAGATCGAAGGCATGGTCTGTAAGTGGTGTGGCAAAAAAAGCCAAAGAACTTTCTTTAGTTTTGGACTACGGTGTAAGAAGTGAGGACGATATTCAGACGATACGAGAAAAATTACGTGCAGGATTTAACTCTCTACAAACGTTAAGTTACTACCACAGTATTGTTTCCGGTGTCTCAGTGTTCTACCAAATAATCTGTATGAATATCCTAATAGGAAAAACAAAAGGTGAATCATATTATTGAAAATTGTGCATAACATTTTCACATACATTCTTTTTTAATGTTTTCTTTTGTAACTTGTTGTACTACTGTACTAACGTAAGTTAAAATTAATAATCTTAAGGTTATGAAGTTTTATTATAGTAATCAATAGAATCAATCAAAAATATGGAAGTAAAATAATTGCATGGATGCTTTTATGATATGTTATTTCTTACTGAATAGTCATGTCATAATATTGTCATAATCATAATATGTCATAATCTTATTTCCACTATGTAACGACGCTTGTTTTTTGCATTTTTATTTTAAAAATTTAATTAATTACTGTTTTATCGATCGTTTTTATATAGCCAAGGATGCAAGTGTGTTAAAAAAATAATTTTAAGTTTGTGCTATAATTATATTTCTATTTTTTTTCGTTGGACTTCCTAAATGCCCGTAAAAATGACTAGAAAGTGTTCGTTGTGTAGAAGTTCTAATATAAAGGTCCCCGAATTATCTTTTCATAGACAAGTAAAGTATTCAGTTGTTCTTTTATTTATATTAAACCACATGCATACTTTCTGGTTAGATTTCTTAAGAATATTGATATTCATACGGAGTGGCTAAATGTATTTTTTATACAATTTAATTTCTGTGACAGTAAACGTTCAATTTATTGCTCAAATATATGCATTTTACAAATTAAAATTTTTAAATTAATGTTCAAATTTGGCGCGTGGACGATAGGTCCTTGACAAGGATAGATAGAGGAGAAACACCGCGTGTGCAACAAAAAAAGAAGATAAATGGAAGTCGTTGATATGTTTGCGACAGTTTCCTTAGTGATTTACTTATCCACGTAAGTATACCGGGTGTTGCATCGTCGGACGGGACATAGGAAATCCCGTGTAAATTTTAATGGGGTCAATTATTGACTTGCCTAATTATTTTAGATAATAATTCTATTTAGGTTTATTGAAGAGCACTAAAACCCACATTCAAAAGAATAACTTTAGATATTTTTGATTAGCTCGTTTACGAGTTATCGCCGGTTTCTTTTTAAATATTTCTCCTTTCTTATGGCCCTGTATTTACTTATGAGCACCATTCAAGGTAAATCATAACTGTCAAATGAAGTTGTCACTTCTAAAATTTACCTATTTAGTGCTTTATTATTATGGAAAACTCATTCCTACATCGGAAATCTTAAAGATGTATTTATAAATACAAATTAATATGAAATAAAGTAAAATAAAGTAATCAATTACAAGATTAATTATAGTATTATTACAATATTCAATAACTTACTAATTTAGGTACTATTAAATTGTTAGAACTTTAGGATTTAAGTAGATGTTCAAATATTCCTCCATCGACTGCTAGACAATAACCCAGGCGATCATAAAATTCTCTTCTTACATTCGCTAGTTGGTAAATTGAAATTCTATTGCATTCGGCAGAAATAGCATTTTTTAACTCATTTATATTTGGGTATTTTTTATCCTGGTATATCCTGTTTTTTAAATAGCCCCAGAGAAAGAAATCATTTGGCGAAATATCAGGAGACCTTTCTGGCCAATTTACTGTATGATTTAGGCCAATAATGTTTCCGTTAAAACTATTGTCTAAATATTCCCGAACAGCCAGGGAACTATGTGCCGGGCAGCCATCCATTTGGTTCCAAACTTCATGATTTTCCCTAGCGGCATCATGTAAAGCAGGAAAAATATGATTTTCGAGTAGATCCAAATAATATTCTGCATTTAAATTTCGCGTAAGAAATAATGGTCCGATAATATTGTGTCCGAGTATCCATGCCCAAACATTTACTTTCTGTGGATTTTGCGTCCTTGTTTCGACAAACCTGTGTTGGTTTTCTTTGTTCCAATATCGATAATTCTGAACATTGGGTTCATTATTTATGGTAAACGTGTATTCGTCAGTATCAAAACAAAACACCTGCCGCCGTATTTCGTCCCCATCTCGTAGCTCTTGGTGCTTTTCATATTTGAAGGAATAGTATTTATGTCGTTTCAAAATTCGAAACGCTGTAGTGTGATCTATTCCTATTTCATCCTCAAGTTTCCTTGTGCTGATCTTTCCATCGTTCTCTTCCACGCACAATAAAACTAAACCAAATGATTTTTTACAGAATAGGCTGTACTTGTTACAATCACGACCGATCACTACACTCACTACATGGACGGAATATGAACTCACTCACGAATTTGACAACCCGGTGAACACAAAGAACAGCGTCTATACTATGGCTAACGTAGGAGAGGTATGTTTTATTTACTATAAAGATTAGGGATTTAGGTTGATGGGCACCTTTTTATCTCTGAAAATATCACTCATAATTCCCAATGCCACTCATTTTATTGATTGTCAAAGGATCTTCTACAATGTTAATATATTTTAGGTATACCCGTTGGCAATCAGCGCTCTGGGACAAACCGTTGCTGAGATGCTTGACAGAGGAGTCCAATTAACTCTAAAAAAGACTAATACGTTTACTAGGTCTTCTGTTATATGCAGTCACAATCGACTATTGATTGATATAGTAATGGTAAGTAGGTTTCTGTAATATAATAAAACTAGCGTGTACCCGCGACTTCGTTCGCGTCGAATTAATCATTTGTAATGATGATGATAAAGCAAAGCAAGAATTTCCATTAACACACAAACTGGATAAAATTTTCTCACATTTATATCAGCATGAGAAAAAACAATATGGCGATATTATTATATAACTTGGTCATATTTGAGGGGTAGTTTCATCTCGTTGGAATTTGACTTTCGAAAAATCCGTTTGCCAAAAATAAGCTTTTTACTTGAAGTAGTTTAAGCAGGATCGTGATTAATCAATTACCCAAATTTTTGGAACATGTATGATTTTTTAAAAATTTTCAAGATATGTAAAAAAACAAAATAAATTATGCATGTCCAAGCGTTTTCCCGAAAGACTAACCGTTTTTTAATAACAAATATTGTAATATTTGAGGGGCGTTTTCACCCTCTTGGAACTTCGAGAAACCCCTCCATATCGAACCTCTACTCCCCACAGTCAATCCGTTTGCCAAAAATCAGCTTTAAACGTCAAGCAGTTTAAGCAGAATCGTGATTACTCAATGGTCATATTTTATGAAACACCCTGTATAAATTTTTAAAAAATTTAAAAATATGTAGAAAAACAAAATAAAATATACGTGTTTAAGCGTTTTTTCGGAAACTTGACCGTTTTTTAAATAAAAAATATTGTAATATTTGAGGGGTGGTTTCACCCCCTTGGAATTTCGAAAAATCCCTTCTTATCGAACCTCTACACCCTAGAATCAACCTGTATGCCAAAATTTAGCTTCTTACGTTGAGTGGTTTAAGCAGGATCGTGATTAATCAGTGAGTCAGTTACTTAAGGATTTTATATATTAGTATAAAAAATAATATATAAAAAGGATAACCATATCCTCAAAAATTATGTACGTTTTTTTATGTTAAGTTTTATATTCTTTTAATGTAGTTCTATTGCAATCAAATATCGATTATATCAATTGATTTACTACTGACAAAAAGTTTTCTGTAATAAATTAAAATTAAAATCAAAATATAAAATGCGAATCATACTCTCAAACATTATGCACATATATTTTTATTAAGTTTTATTTTTTATTGCTTCTGCAATTCATATGAAATTATAATTTTAATTTAAGAAAATACAGAAACTAGAAATTTCAGATGGAATATTAATATTTTCATATTTCCTTTCGCTATTTCTATTTTATATTACTTCGTATAATGCTGATATTGCCTTGCATTGTAAATTTAAAGAAAATGAATTTTGCTACATTTTGATATTTTCTTTGAACACTAAAAACATTTCTTTTATTTTAATATTTTTTTTGGTATAGTAAAATAAAATAAATGAAACGTTAAGTTGAAAACTCGTCTTATCCCAAAAACTTTGTTTCGAGATAATATGCAAAAACTGTTTTAGGATATGTTTAAAGTCATCGTAGTTTCATAGTTGTCGATTTTCGAAAGAAATCAGAACATGTATATTATTTCGTATATTTTTCATTTTATTGATTTTATGGAAAGCACTGTTCATTAAAATGTTTTATCCTATGTTATAGGGCTTGTTTCTCTCTACAATTTCCAGTCTCACAATGTACCGTTTGTGTCGGGGAAGGGATCAAAGTTTCATAGTTGTCGATTTTTGAAAGAAATCAGTACATGTATATTGTTTCGTATATTTTTCACTTTATTGATTTTATGGAAAGCACTGTTCATTAAAATGTTGTATCCTATGTTATAGGGCTTGTTTCTCTCCACAATTTTCTGTCTCACAATGTACCGTTTGTGTCGGGGAAGGGATCATAGTTTCATAGTTGTCGATTTTTGAAAGAAATCAGTACATGTATATTGTTTCGTATATTTTTCACTTTATTGATTTTATGGAAAGCACTGTTCATTAAAATGTTGTATCCTATGTTATAGGGCTTGTGTTTCTCTCTACAATTTCCTGTCTCACAATGTACCGTTTGTGTCGGGGAAGGGTTCATAGTTTCATAGTTGTCGATTTTCGAAAGAAATCAGTACATGTATATTGTTTCGTATATTTTTCACTTTATTGATTTTATAGAAAGCACTGTTCATTAAAATGTTGTATCCTATGTTATAGGGCTTGTTTCTCTCTACAATTTCCTGTCTCACAATGTACCGTTTGTGTCGGGGAAAGGATCATAGTTTCATAGTTGTCAATTTTCGAAAGAAATGAGTATATGTATATTATTTCGTATATTTTTCATTTTATTGATTTTATGGAAAGTACTGTTCATTAAAATGTTGTATCCTATGTTATAGGGCTTGTTTCTCTCTACAATTTCCTGCCTCACAATGTACCGTTTGTGTCGGGGAAGGGTTCATAATTTCATAGTTGTCGATTTTTGAACAAAATCAGTACATGTATATTGTTTCGTATATTTTTCACTTTATTGATTTTATGGAAAGCACTGTTCATTAAAATGTTGTATCCTATGTTATAGGGCTTGTTTCTCTCTACAATTTCCTGTCTGACAATGTACCGTTTGTGTCGGTGAAGGGATCATAGTTTCATAGTTGTCGATTTTTGAACAAAATCAGTACATGTATATTGTTTCGTATATTTTTCACTTTATTGATTTTATAGAAAGCACTGTTCATTAAAATGTTGTATCCTATGTTATAGGGCTTGTTTCTCTCTACAATTTCCAGTCTCATAATGTACCGTTTGTGTCGGGGAAAGGATCATAGTTTCATAGTTGTCAATTTTCGAAAGAAATCAGTACATGTATATTATTTCGTATATTTTTCATTTTATTGATTTTATGGAAAGTACTGTTCATTAAAATGTTGTATCCTATGTTATAGGGCTTGTTTCTCTCCACAATTTTCTGTCTCACAATGTACCGTTTGTGTCGGGGAAGGGATCATAGTTTCATAGTTGTCGATTTTCGAAAGAAATCAGTACATGTATATGATTTCGTATATTTTTCATTTTATTGATTTTATGGAAAGTACTGTTCATTAAAATGTTGTATCCTATGTTATAGGGCTTGTTTCTCTCCACAATTTTCTGTCTCACAATGTACCGTTTGTGTCGGGGAAGGGATCATAGTTTCATAGTTGTAGATTTTCGAAAGAAATCAGTACATGTATATTGTTTCGTATATTTTTCAATTCATTGATTTTATGGAAAGCACATGTTCATTAAAATGTTGTATCCTATGTTATATGGCTTGTTTCTCTCTACAATTTTCTGTCTCATTGATTTTGTCTTCTGAATTCATTGATTTTCTGATTTATTAGATTTGCTATTTTACAGGATAGATTTTATTGCAGAAACTTAATTTGTAGTGAATTTTATATAGGAATAGGCGACTGTTGCTGGAGTTTTGACTATATTTATGTATATTTTAGGGTTCGCAATTAATATATGTCATTAGGCCATTTTTTTTAAATAGATAAGGAGGGTTTTGCAACTTGACGCCTCATATGATTTCGATAGATAACATTCTAAATAATTATAAAAAAATCGTATCTAGTTTTGAATTAAAATGACAACAAACAGCTATCAATAAAATATACATATTTTTACTGGATATACATGTTATCTATTCGTTATATTATGATCAATGTATTTTATAGTCTCTACACAAAAATGCCAAACATGAAATTGAAATGGCCTCGAAAATACTGGACCTGGCAATATTTGGACATGTTGTCATTAACGAGAGTATTAACCAAATGGTTTTGGATAGACTGGGACCCACAACATCTATAACTATGGCAATGGAATTCTACAAGATGGTGTAAGTTATTTCTATATTCTTCAGTACTACAACTAGTGTTTTCTCCAGGTTCATACTATTAACAAACCTCAAATTAGTGTCACTTAGTAGCACTGTCTCTGATTGCGACTACTAAAAACAACCCTAGAAAATCTCTAAAATACAGGATGTTTAAAAAAACTTGAGACATCTTTCGTGGGGAGATTCCTCAGCAAAATAAAACAATAAATCACCACAATACACCAAAACACTTTTATTTTTACACTGGATGCGCGTATCGCTAACCATGTTAGCATCATCAGCAGATGATTATAAACTAAAGTACAATCTACAATTGGAGCGTTTATATACTCGCTCAGTGGGCACAGAGTGGGCGTGGCAAGATCTAGCCAACCGAGTCAGAACCCACGGAGCGTAACAGTTAGATTTCCGCCACTATAGTAGTAGGAACAAAGAACTTGAAGGAATTGGACCGTTGTCTCTGTTCATACTATCTTTACATTTATTAATTCTGATGCTTTCATATGCGTCTAATTGCCTGTAATTTGAGACTTGTTTAAGTAATTTTAAGTTATTAAGATCTGTACAATATTCTTTATCAACAATATGTTCGGCAACGCAAGATTTGCCAGGTCTACCATATCTTATCTGAGCTAAATGTTCTTTAAATCTAGTTAATATTGATCTTCTAGTTTGCCCAACATATTTCTGATTACAATCTTTACAAGAGATTTCATAAATACCCGACCTTTCCAGTAGAGGTGTTTTATCCTTTGGATTACTTAATAATTGTTGTAATTATTATTAGCACTATACACAAGTTTATAATTGACATTCTTAAAAATTCCTTTTAGACCACGGGATAACTCTCTATCAAACGGTATTGAAAAATATTTTGACGTATCTTTCTCCACTTGAAAAGTCGAATTTTCAGAAATCATTAACCTATACCTAGGTTTTCTAATTATTTTATCAGCTAGTGAAGAAGAATATCCATTACACTCAGCTACATTCCTAATGTAATCTCTTTCTATTTCATATCTTTCGCTGGGAAGTGGAAAACTAAGTAATCTATGAACTAAGAAATTTAAACTAGCCATTTTATGTTCAACACTTTGATATGATTCATTAGGAATATATCTGCGTGTAGTGGTATTTTTCCTATAGATATCAAATTCCAGGCAATTATTATTATTTCTAATAACTAATACATCTAGAAATGGTAATCTGTCGTTGTTCTCAATTTCATGTGTAAATTTAATGGAAGGAAAACGATTATTTAACTTAGAAATAAAATTATCTATGATGTCTGAATGTGTGTCAAAAACAGCAAAAATATCATCCACATACCTGAACCATACTCTTGGAAAATACTCAAACTGATTCTTAGCCTCCACTTCAAACAAAAAAAAAGATTCCTCACATAAAAATAAGATTTATTTTTTATATCAATATAGTCCGATTCTGCTTTGTTTCGTAGATACAGGGTCTTAATATTTTTTCGAATGATTATAATTTTATCATCATATGTACATCATCATATGACGTACATGTGATGAATCTGTGGATACTTTTTTAGTAATAAAATATGTAACATCAAATAGTAACTTCTACCCGCAAAATTTCATTCGAATTAAAAAGCACTTGGAAGAATATTATAATAAAGCTAGAAAAATATAAGACTTTAACCCCCTACGAAAGAGTTTTGGTACTAACTCTTATACTCATTTGAAACAAAGCAAAACCGGACCTATGTTAAAACAAAAAATAAATCTTATTTTTAAATGAGGAATCTCCCCACGAGAGATAGCACATGTTTTTTGAAACATCCTGTATAATCTAACCATTTAATTTCCCCAGGACAATTTTATTTTTAATACCCAAATTATTTTTCATATTAGATCGAAGGCATGGTCTGCAAGTGGTGTGGCAAAAAAAGCCAAAGAACTTTCTTTAGTTTTGGACTACGGTGTAAGAAGTGAGGACGATATTCAGACGATACGAGAAAAATTACGTGCAGGATTTAACTCTCTACAAACGTTAAGTTACTACCACAGTATTGTTTCCGGTGTCTCAGTGTTCTACCAAATAATCTGTATGAATATCCTAATAGGAAAAACAAAAGGTGAATCATATTATTGAAAATTGTGCATAACATTTTCACATACATTCTTTTTAATGTTTTCTTTTGTAACTTGTTGTACTACTGTACTAACGTAAGTTAAAATTAATAATCTTAAGGTTATGAAGTTTTATTATAGTAATCAATAGAATCAATCAAAAATATGGAAGTAAAATAATTGCATGGATGCTTTTATGATATGTTATTTCTTACTGAATAGTCATGTCATAATATTGTTATAATCATATGTCATAATCTTATTTCCACTATGTAACGACGCTTGTTTTTTGCATTTTTATTTTAAAAATTTAATTAATTACTGTTTTATCGATCGTTTTTATATAGCCAAGGATGCAAGTGTGTTAAAAAAATAATTTTAAGTTAGTGCAATATTTATTATATTTCTATTTTTTTTCGTTGGACTTCCTAAATGCCCGTAAAAATGACTAGAATGTGTTTGGTGTGTGGAAGTTCTAATATAAAGGTCCCCGAATTATCTTTTCATAGGCATGTAAAGTATTCAGTTGTTCTTTTATTTTTATTAAACAACATGGATACTTTCTGGTTAGATTTCTTAAGAATACTGATATTCGTACGCGGAGTGACTAAATGTATTTTTTATATAATTTAATTCTTGTGATAGTAAACATTCAATTAATTGCTCAAATATATGTATTTTACAAATTAAATTTTTTAAATTAATGTTCAAATTTGGCGCGTGGACGATAGGGGTCCTCGACAAGATTAGATATAGAGTAGAAGCACCGCGTGTGCAAAAAAAAAGAAGATAAATGGAAGTTGCTGATATGTTTGCGACAGTTTTCATAGTGATTTACTTATCCACGTAAATATATACGATCTAGGGTCATAACTCCGTTGCGATATTATTAACGGGAATTAAGATGTTATAATTTCCTCTACCTTTTACAGGTAACAACCATTAAATACAATAGAGATTCTGAGTAATCATATAAAATGAAAATTGACACTCATCTAACTGTTCTAATAGTTTATTTATATCATTAATGTCACATACAGGGTGAGTTTCCTACGATGTTCTCTATGGGTATCTCGGAAACTACTGGGGTCATAAATATGCGCCTTTCAGATTTTCGAAAAAGTTCATGGCTTACTAGATATTTCGACAAAAAAACAAATTTCGGCTATTTTAAAAATGGTCCCTAATTCCATTATAATCTATTTTAGACAAAAAGTTTTGAGATAAAAGTTGTAGATAATGATATCCCTAATGAGACTGTGTTCTCCGATTGTTTCTAAAGCCTATCATTTTTGACATATGACATAAACATATGTTTTGTTAAATGGAAACCATAGTTGGCCATGACTTCATAAAAAGCGCCATTTTTTAAGCTTTTCAGCGATATAAGCTATAATATGTTTCTCTCACAAAATTACTGAGTTATAGCAAATTCTTATCTTTCTTTACTAATTTCACTTAGACCATGAAAACATCCAATCTTTGTAAATTAAAATAAACAAAAATTGTAAATAAGAGTTTTTCAAATGAAGAAAAGCGTGTAGGATTATTGGTTTAACTTTTCCTGGCCATACAGTTTCCAGGATACGTTGACCGGTGAAAGTTACTTACGTTTTTTAGAGAACGGCTTTCAAGACATGTTAGAAAAGTTAAATTTTGATATTCGCGCATTAATAGAGTGGTTCCAATATGACTTTCATTATGACACACCCTTTGAATAAGAAAACTAAGGAAGGAGCATAATGCTATCCATGTATTCATGCATGGTGGGCGGAAAAAGCGCCATAAAAGCACTCTAGGGTGGGGATCCTTGACAGTTCTGTTTGACGATTCATTTGACACATTTGAATTTGATTTGAAATTTTGTGGATTTGTCAGTCTTTAAGGAGCTTATTTTATGTTATTTATTATTTATTCTACTACTGATAGTTGTATAAAGGTAGTAAATCTAGATGGAAATTGTGGCAGCGCTTAAATTAACAGTGACACTATCGCGATTTATCGAAAAAGACTCTAAAATAGTTGGTTGTGTAGCGTGCGGTAGATCTCGGCAAAAAATTGAGTGAAATAATGGAACAACTTTTCGCTAGTAAGTGACTATATAATATACATACGTGTAGTAAACCGATCATTTATGAAATTCACTTAAATTTACTAAATTATATATTTTTTCTCGCATTTTAGCTTTTATTTATTACTTGTCAAAGATTAGATATCAAAGAATTTAATACGTTAATTTGACTTACTCTAAGCTTCAGTAGCGTATCGGATGTTTGTGGTAATAAATACTTATTATAACTTATCTATTTTATTAGAATTATATATTTTTATAACAATTTTAATAACTACCAACATTTATTCACAACGTAAAATAAAACAACAAATTATTGAGTCTACCCCACGTCTACCCTACATCATAGTTTTACATTTTTTAAATAAAATTAGAACGACACTGATAAACCGGAATTTAAGTCGGCCATATTTGAGGCCCATCGCGGTGTACTTAAGATTTTGATATGCTCCTTCCTTAGTCTTCTTATTCAAAGTGACACACCAAACCCCCCCCCACACAATAAAGAAATGTTAAAAATTATTTATATCATAATTATGTAGACTCAGGGATAGATAGAGGTGGACCAATTGCATGGGTCTCCTCGGTCACTTGACCTATTCATTTTAGATTTTTTTTATGCGGTATGGTTAACAAGGTTTACAAAAGAACTTATGAATTAAGAGGGGCACTCGAAGAGGCGGAACAGGAGAAGTTTAATTAAGTCGACCGGTCGTTCTGTGACAATAGCTAGAAATCCAGTTTTAAAAAGATGCATTTATGTACTCAAAATAATAATTGCAGATTTTTTGAGCATTTTCTAAAATAACTTAAAGTGTGTGTAGTGATATTATTTTTTAAGTTTTAGTTTGTATAATGTAAATTATAAAGAGCCGTTTAATAATATATTTTGTCATTTTATAAGTTATAAATCATAACAAAATTAGAACACCATTGAAAACCGTTCTCTAAAAAACGTAAGTAACTTTCACCGGTCAACGCATCCTCGAAACTGTATGGCCATGAAAAGTTGGAACCAATAATAATCCTACACACTTTCTTCATTTGAAATTTTTATTTATTTTAATTTACAAAGATTGGATATGACAATTTCACATTTCTGAGACTAACGACGATTGAACTTATTTTCATGGCTAACTAAGCGAAATTAGTCAAGAAATATACGACTTGGCTATAACTCAGTAATTTTGTGAGAGAAACATATTATAGCTTATATCGCTGAAAAGCTTAAAAAATGGCGCTTTTTATGAAGTCATGGCCAACTATGGTTTCCATTTAAAAAAACATATGTTTGTGTCATATATCAAAAATGACAGGCTTTAGAAAAAATCGGAGAACACAGTCTCATTAGGGATGTGATTATCTAAAACTTTTATCTGAAAACTTTTTGTCTAAAATTGGTTATAATGGAATTAGGGACCATTTTTAAAATAGCCAAAATTTGGTTTTTTCAAAATATCTAGTAGTGCTGTACGGATCCGAGTTTTTAAACAGATCGGGGATTCTTTAAAAAAATCCGGATCCGGATTTATCCGTATCCGGATTTGAATATGCGATTCGGATCTAGATCCGAGATTCGGATCTGAGATTCGGATCTAAGATTCGGATCTGAGATTCGGATCTTAAAATCGTATCTGAAATCCGAATCTCAAATTCGGATCCCATACCCCGGTTATGGTAATTTCGAGGGTAATTTATAAATTATGCACTGAAAAAAAGGATCTCTCAGTCGAAATGAATATGACTTTGACCCAAAAGATTGGCGCTTTTCAATAGGGCCAAGAACAACGTTTCTTTTGCCCAAAAAAAGCATTAACTATCTTTTCATAAGCTTTAAAAAATTACTTTAGAGAATAGAATAATCTATCTGTCAAAAGCATTTCACTCTTGACCCAAAAATGAATATGCAAAGAAGTTCTTGCTACAAGAACAATAGTCTCTTTGATTCATGCAAAAATTCTTGAATGAAAAGGGACATTTCTTGATTAAAGAGACACTTTTCTTAAACCAATAGCGAATAATATTGACTCAACTAAAATTTATTTTGACCTAAGAGAGTCTATACATCATATACAGGCATATTACGAGGTATATTATTTTCTGATAAATTTAGGTTTTTCCTGGTATTTACTTACTACAGAGTAGTAAGTAAAGTGATATTATTATTATGTTATATTATTTATTCTTGCAGTGCAGTGGCGAAAAACCCATAAGGATTTTTTTTTGATAAAGTGATAATATTTTTCTCGATAGTAGCAATTTTCGAATTTTTCAAGAGAACCAGTTTTCTTGAGTTAAGAGAGTTTTTCTTCAAGCAAAATATTTTCTTTTACGCTAAAATAAATTTTCTTGCCACTATTTTTTTTCAAGAACAATGACGACTTTAGTTCAAGTCTATCTTTTTATCAGTGTGGGCATAAAAAGTAGTTTAATTTGCAGCACAAGATATTTAATTTTCAAACAAAACAAAAAATACAACCGGTAAGTATGCGGATGCGGCATGCGCATGTTATGCATGGAACGACGACTGGCAACAGTGGCAACAGTGAATACGAATACGACGATCTTGGATCCAGATCCTAAATCCGGACTTAAACCCGGATCTTAAATCGGGGTCTTAAATCCGGATCTTAAATCTGAATATTTATACCCGGATCGATCCGGTTCCGGATTGTACACTTTGTGGGGTCCGGATCAGATCCGGATCTGATTGAAAAAGGATCCGGATCTGATGTACAGCACTAATATCTAGTAAGCCATGAACTTTTTCAAAAATCTGAAAGGCGCATATTTATGACCCCACAGAACTGCAATTCTTTCCTCATTTAACCGACTCTCTATCTCCAGTAGTTTCCGAGATGCCCATAGAGAACATCGTAGGAAACTCACCCTGTATAATAAATTTAAAAGAGTACAGTTTCGTCGACATCCCCTGGTACAATATTTTTCTGTCTCAACCACTGAAGGTATTTTTAATATTCCTTTTGGCAAATGGATTCACTTTTAGGTAGAACTAGCGCTTGTCGTGCTTCTTCAGCTTTTATTAATATCCCCTCCATTTTAATAGGAACGTACCTAAACGTGTGCCGCATTCGTGTTAAAGTCTTTTTTTTTGGAAAAAAAAATGAACTCGAGGGACCATAACCGTCAATTTATCAGACCATAACCGTCGATCAACAGGTTATTCAGAGAATAGGTACATTAAAGAAATGCTAACTTCATGTTAAAAAATGGAAACAGACGCCACCTTGTGTAGCCTGGCAGTACTAGCTAAATTGAGGGGAATTGGAGGGGCGGGGCTTAAAAGAGGGGAAATTTAAAAAAAAATATTTTTATAAGTATCACTGACTTACTGTTTAAAGTTAATAAACATATTTTTTATTACTTTAATATAATTTAAAGTACTAAAAAATATGTCTATTAACTTTACACAGCAAATCAATGATATTATTAAAGACTTATTATTTTCAGAGAAAATTCATAGTAAATATATTACACATTTAGTAAACAATATCATTTATTTTTTAGAGCTGCGATTTATATTACAATAATATTTAAATATATATATTTTTTTAACAATGAAAAAGAATATCCCGGAACCTGAAAAAGAAAGATGATCAATTAATGACTTAAATTAGTTCAAAATACATTTTGCAAATAACTAGTGAATTGGAAAGATAAACATACTATTAAAAAGACATTTTAGTAGTATGTTATCATCTATTTCCTGATAATACATAAGTATATAATAGGTAAATAACATGCATAAAGCACTATGATACAACTACGTAGTAGTTGTATGATAATAGCACAATAATATCACAAAAATATGTGCTAATTTAAATTCCTTTAATGATCTAATGAAACACTATCTAGCCTCAATGCATGCCATTCCAAAGGCAAAAAAAACTGTTATACCATATAAATATAAGCTGAATAAAACATAAACCAAGCCAACGTGCATAAACAACCAAAAAATACATCAAAAAATATTTTTATCAGTTCATACTCATGGATATATTATGTATTTTATATATCGCACATTCCATTCAAAAGTTTACTAACTCAAAATAGAGAATATAGAGAACATTGTCAAGAGAAGTAAAAGAAAATTTAAGTTAAAGCAATATGCTCCTTTTTGCATATTAATGGCCAAATAATATAATGTTGATTTAATAAAATTTTACTGGCATCGTTCTGAGGTATAAATCAGATTAAAAAGGACATTGTTTTTGTAATAATTGTATGTTTTGTAAAGATTTTTTGAAGACAATACAGTTTTGAACGGGCTGTGCGATATAAACAAGGATCTTACTATTATTTGAGGTTAGAAAGTATTTAAATAATATAAAACATAATCGAAATCATTTTTCATCATAAATTATAGAGGTACTTACGTGTTTTGATATTATTATCAGGAAATAATACGTTTAGCTAATCAGGTACGCTGCCAGGCAAATTCTATCGGCGGGTCTTTGCAAAAGTTGAAATCTAAAAATACAAAAATACGTTTACATCTTAGTTGTATTTACGAATAAAGTATTTGTGTGTAATTTCTGACTTACCAGTTAACTGAATAATCGCATTAAATATATCCAAATGGTAATTTAATATTGTAAAAAAGCAAAATTGTTTTAAATCACTTGCCAGGACAGCCGGCCAGCTTCTTTGTTGGCAAAATGGCCGCGGTATCATGATTTAAGCAATGTGAGTGACAAAGAAAGTCAATGCCCGGCAGATGTTGCTTTCTTTGTCGTTGGTCCTGGCACGTTTAAATCTGACTGTTGCCTGTTTTCCCATACAAGTGACACCCCCGTGAGGTCATCTAATACAATGGTAACCTGGCAACAAACACAGTTCCTAGTTTTTTAACAGCGAGAGTTAATGGAAATATACCGGAAAATTAATAAATGCAACGTTTGTGTCGTTTTAAAATGGGACGAAATATACTAAATTCAGTAAGAAATTAAATTATCTATGTACAGGGTGGACAACTTTGTTTGTTTCTATAGGGTATCCAGGAAACCGTGAGAAATATTCAAATTTTTATACTGCAGTCTCGGGTTCTTTTTTTGAAAAAAATTACAATGGCGCAAACGGATCGTGGCTATCTTGATCGGTTTCGAAGCTACAGGGGGATTCTCAAATTTTGTACTTTTTGAAGATGTTCGATAGTTTGTTTATTTCAGCTACCACGGAAAAATGAATTATACATTCTAAAGGCACTTTTCTGTGTAGAATGCAGTGGCGTAGTCAGACTTTATTCGAAAAAAATATTTTTTGAGATATTAACTATAACAAAGTAAACGGTTGTCATGGTGATCGGAACATACCTTTGATGGATGTGGGACATTTCATTTCAACAGATTGATGTATTTTAAATAATAAAAAAATGAGTAAATTTGAAAATTTTGAGAAATATAATATGTTAGAATGTTATATTGAGTCTAACAAACATAAGCAAATGGCAGCTGATTTATATTAGTTGCTCGCGCTCTGGGTTTGGTTACCCCGCCATTTTTAAAAGGTTAGAAGACAGTTTAATCAATTTTGGATCTTTTCAAAAACCGCGTCCCAAAAAATTATCAGAAAGAAGATGGAGTAAATCAATATTCAGTTTTCATCATACTCATTCTTTTATTATTTAAAATACACACACTTCAATCTGTTGAAATGAAATGTCCCGCATCCATCAAAGGTATGTTCCGATCACCACGACAACCGTTTACTTTGTTCCTCGGCGCGGCCTACTATCCACTAAGTGGACATTTTAAGAAAAATTTGAAATATTGAGGTTAATAGTGAAAATAAATATAGAGTGTTATATATTTTCGAGAAGCCCATGCCAAGCTGAATAAGAAAATTTAAAAATATACAGGGGATTCAATTTAAAAAAACATAAGTATAGTTGATATCTCAAAAAATATTTTTTTCGAAAAAAGTCTGACTACGCCACTGCATTCTACACAGAAAAGTGCCTTTAGAATATATAATTCATTTTTCCGTGGTTGCTGAAATAAACAAACTATCGAACATCTTCAAAAAGTACAAAATTTGAGAATCCTCCTGTAGCTTCGAAACCGATCAAGATAGCCACGATTATAATTTTTTCAAAAAAGAACCCTGAGACTGCAGTATCAAAATTTGAATATTTCTCACGGTTTCCTAGATACCCTATAGAAACAACCAAAATGGTCCACCATGTACTACAGGAATTATAAAGTGTTATTAACTTCGTTGATACATAAATAACTATAATATTTTAGCATACTAGTATTTAATATTAAAATGCAGTAGATATTTTGTAATTACTACTATTAATTTGCTTTTATCTATTCAGAGTTGCATCAGGATCATCATGTAGATTTTGCTAACATACTCATGTCGTGTGACGATGTCGTTTCTGCTGAGGTACCTGTATACCTGGAAAAAATTGCTAGAGTCGTTAGAAATGCAGGGTAATAATATTAATACGCTATAATATTTCCAAAAAGATCTTTACATATGTACTAAATTTTTTTTTAATATAGAAAGGTATTAAATATTATTTTTTCAGATTAGCTGAAGAGTTTAGTGAAGTTTCAGCTGAATCTGGTGTCGATTGGCTTAGAATAAAATGTCCAGAATCTTATATACTATTTGAGGAGTTTTTGGAAAAGCATGGTCACAGAGCAGTAGGAGAGGTAAGTAAAAATAGTGATATAAATACTATACAGAGTTGTCCACCACATACGACACGGAGTATTGTAACTAAACGATGAGATTTTTACAAATTGTAAGTTTTGGGTTCGATGAAGGACTATTAGAGGTACAATTTAAAAATAATTTTACAAGTTGTATTTTTTTAAATGGAACACCCTGTATATTATTACATTTTTAGTTTCTACGATTAAAATAAAGGTAAATTTGATTAAGATTTATTATACTTAAACCTTACCGTTTTTGAAATATTTTCAATGTTGTGAAATTGCAGTAAAAATTTTAAGGCTTCATTTCTCCAAGGGTATCAAAGTTTTTAATACTAAATATTTACTGAAGTTTATTTATTGATCAGTTATTTTGTTGCAATAATAAAAATAATACTACCTTATACAGAGTGCCTAAAAATTAATTTTAAATAATTATTAGCTTCAAACGGCAATAACTTGTTTAATTTAAACGGAACACCTTGTATATTTTACGAGAATCAGATGCACAATTTAATTGTCTATCAAATTATATTATACCATTTTTTACCTATCTCTTTAAGTTTCCATAGAAAATGCATTTTCTTGTAATTTAGAACTTATTTATCAATATACCCATGGAATATTGACATTTTAGATTATTTTTAAAGATGTACCAAATTTTTAAAGAGTACAGATACTAAAATTGTCGATATAATTTGTTTATTTTATTAAAAAATAAAAAAAAAATGTTTAAATATTTGTTAAAGGGGACCAATTAATATGATTCCAGTATTCAAACTACATTAACTGACTGTTTGCGTTGATTAATAATAATTGCTCCAAATACTAAAAAACTAAATTTTGTATGGGTATTAGACAGTGTGATAAAAAGAAACACCTTAAAAATGATATTTCATTTTTTAATAAATACTTATTTATAACAACAGAGACTTTAATTTTGATAATTATTATATTATTATTTTCTGACTCAAATCCACATTTATTTAGAATAATTTATTAACGAACACAATTAAGTATGTAATTAATTAGTATATGGGCGGAAATAATGGTGTTATATTTAATTAATGGTATACTCTTTTATAAAGATTTAAATAGTTTTCTTTTTGCATACAAATGGGCTAGTAATATTATCGTTTTGCTAAAACGATAATATTACTAGCCTGTACATTTTGTACATTTGTTGCTTTAAAAACAGTCTAAAACGTCAACATTCCATGGGTATATTGATAAATAGGGTCTAAATTATAAGAAAATGCATTTTCTACGAAAACTTGAAGGGATAGGTAAAAGATGGTATAATACAATTTGGTAGACAATTAAATTGTGCATCTGATTCTCCTAAAATATATAGGGCGTCCCATTTAAATTAAAGAAGTTATTGGCGTTTAAAACTAGAAATTATTTAAAATAAATTTTAGATACTCTGTATAAGGTAGTATTATTTTTATTATTGCAACTCAATAACTGATCAATAAATAAACTTCAGTAAATATTTAGTATTAAAAACTTTGATACCCATGGAGAAATGAAGCCTTAAAATTTTTACTGCAATTTCCCAAAATTGAAAATATTTCAAAAACGGTAAGGTTTAAGTATAATAAACCTTAATCAAATTTACCTTTATTTTAATCGTAGAAACTAAAAATGAAATAATATACAGGGTGTTCCATTTAAAAAAATACAACTTTGATATTTTTTACTTATTTGGGACACTCTGTATCTTGTCAAATTATTTTTAAATTGTACCTCTAATAGTCCTTCATCGAACCCAAAACTTAAAATTTGTAAAAATATAATCGTTTAGCTACAATACTCCGTGTCGTATGTGGTGAACAACCCTGTATAGAGGAGTATTTTATGTGTAATATAATAATTCTGTGTATCTATTATACAATAAAAACTCAAAAACAACTTTAAACATTTTAAGCTTTTTTTAAGTTTAGAGAATTTTCGACTTATTACTTAATTATAAAATCGAGATACTCCTTCCTACGTGCGCTTTCTGAAATATACAGGGTGGTCCGAACTGTATTCCGGAAACTTTGGCAGCATATTCTGCAGATAAAAATAAGTAAAAGAGTTCGTATAAATGTATGTCCTAAAATGCTTAGTTTCGGAGATACAGGGTGTAGAAATTTCATTTCTATTTCGATTTTTTCCAAATAATTTCTGAATTAACGCCAATATTTGGATGAAAATTGGAGTCTGGGGTTTTTTTGTTATGAGAAATTTGATTTTGATGTCAATATGACTCCTATTTGTAGGGGTCGTTTTGGCTTACGTAGAAAATCATGGAATTCTATATTTTTTCACTCAGTAGTTTTACAGTTGAGGGTTGGAACCTTTGGTGTTACACAGCAAAATAAAAACACTAAATCACCACAATACACCAAAACACTTTTACTTTTACACTGGACGCGCGTTTCGCTAACCATGTTATATATTCCTAATGAATCACATCATAGTGTTGAACATAAAATTTCTTAGTTCATAAATTACTTAGTTTCCCACTTTCCAACGAAAGATATGAAATAGAAAGAGATTACATTAGGAATGTAGCTGAGTGTAATGGATATTCTCCTTCACTAGTTGATAAATTAATTAGAAAACGTAGGTATAGGTTATGATTTCTGAAAATTCGACTTTTCAAGTGGAGAAAGATACGTCTAAATATTTTTCGATACCGTTTGATAGAGAGTTATCCGTGGTCTAAAAGGAATTTTTTAAGAATGTCAATTATAAACTTGTGTATAGTGCTAATAATAAATTACAACAATTATTAGGTGATCCAAAAGATAAAACACCTCCACTGGAAAGGTCGGGTATTTATGAAATTTCTTGTAAAGATTGTAATCAGAAATATGTTGGGCAAACTAGAAGATCAATATTAACTAGATTTAAAGAACATTTAGCTCAGATAAGATATGGTAGACCGGATAAATCTTGCGTTGCCGAACATATTGTTGATAATGAACATTGTATAGATCGTAATAATTTAAAATTAATTAAACAAGTCTCAAATTACAGGCAATTAGATGCATATGAAAGCATCAGAATTAATAAATGTAAAGATAGTATGAACAGAGTCAACGGTCCAATTCCTTCAAGTTCTTTGTTCCTACTACTCTAGTGGCGGAAATCTAACTGTTACGCTCAGTTGGCTTTGACTCGGTTGGCTAGATTTTGCCACGCCCACTCGGTGCCCACTGAGCGAGTATATAAACGCTCAACTTGTAGATTGTACTTTAGTTTATAATCATCTGCTGATGATGCTAACATGGTTGGCGAAACGCGCGTCCAGTGTAAAAGTAAAAGTGTTTTGGTGTATTGTGGTGATTTAGTGTTTTTATTTTGCAGTAGTTTTATACAGGTACGGACAAAAAGTTATTGCTCTTCAAACTAGTTAAAAATATGTAGGTGGCCCCCTCTACAAGCAGAAGTCATATTGACATCAAAATCAAATTTCTCATGTCAAAAAACTCCCAAACACCAATTTTCATCAAAATATTGACGTTAATTCAGAAAAAAATCGAAATAAAAATGAAATTTCTACACCCTGTATCTCCGAAACTTAGCATTTTAGAACATACGTTTATACGAACTTTTTGCTTATTTTTATCTGCAGAATATGGTGCTGAAGTTTCCGGAATACAGTTCGGACCACCCTGTAAATTTATAGCAACTTCTTATAGTTATAAAATGTCAGAGACACTTCTTTATTTGAACATTTTTTAACAATTTTTATTTTTTCTTGTTTTGGGTTAACAAAAGAAATTGGTTTTAACAAAAAAGTGGTTTATTAAATATTTAACTAAAAGTAAAAAAATAATTTCACTTATACCTTATAATTTTCTATAGTAATTTTTCTAATTTAATATTTTTTGTTGGTTTCAGTTTGAGCTTTCTGTTGAAACTTGGGGAATCAAGCCATCAAAAGTCATTCCGATGATCCAAGCGAACACTCTTCATATGACCGATTTTGTTAAAGAACAAAAGTCAACCGATGAAATTATCAGTCAATTGGTATCACCTTTAACTTCAGGAAACAAGTAATTATATTATTTTTTCCATAGCAACTGTTAAAATTGCCTTATATCTATCAAAAATTGTAGATAAAATAGTACTTTAACTCCAAGGGTAGATTAAATGGTACTTTAACAGCGAGGATAAGTTAAAAACTTTATTCTGCAATTCTGTATTAAAAATATTCAAATTACAAAGAATCATCATTATTATTTGTATTCATGAAAGCTATGAGCTTGCTATAACTACAAAGTTTAGATGTTACTATACTACTACGGAAATTTAAACGGTATAGCTTATCCTTAACCTTGAAATATCAATGTTTTCAGTGACCAGTATTGTACTCTTTAGCTTTGAATAGTACGACCAGAAACTGCACGGCTGCATTTTCTTTGATTTTTCAGAAAAATATGCTAAAAGTATGTTTTCACTTGATCTTTCTTCTCGCACGTTTTTTAATTGCTTCCATTTTTAAAAATTTTTGTATTCTTTTCATAAGTTATTCGGGATTTTAATGGAAGTATGGTACTATTCTTTTAAAAGTTCCTCAGAAATTGATTTACTCTTCGGTTAACAATAATATTTTTCAGGATTGTCAAGTTGACGTTAAAGTTAGGTTATTAGGTGGTTGTCATAAATAAAAACATAGATTATTGAAATTATTTAAATAAGAATAAAGGTATTTTACCGCAGATAGGGAAGATATTTTACTTAAAGGTATTTTATAAACTTTTTCAGTGAGAATATTAACTCCCCTGTTTCTTATATTTCAGTTAAAGGGACGTAAGAACTATAGGAAGTAAATTTTTGTTTTCATGTTTTGACGATATCTGAGAATTCCTAGAATTATCAAGATTATTGAATAATTATAGTTGTTCAATAAGTGAAATTAAGAGAAGACTTGGAAATAGGATGATTTTTTTCATGTTATAGTTGATAGATCACCCCATTTCTCTTAATTTGTTTTTATTTCAGTACAGTTAATCACAAATTGAATTGATGTGTGCAAAAACAGCTATATATTTTCAAACATCTTATTTAAATAGTTATAAGGTAATAAATTTTGTAGATATAATTTATGAAAATTTATAATATATAAAGATTAGAACACAATCCTCTGAAGGAAAAAGAAATACTCAAAAACTCATTAAATATACTTTATTAAAAATAACAACATACAAAAACATCCATGCAAACTGTAATAATCAGAACATTATCCACATTATACCTTTATTAAATTTGTGTCCACACTCCTGTCAGGAAAGCCAGAAATATTTGTTTAAATATTAACTTATTTTAAATTGCCAGAAACACATCAGAATATATCATAACCACAACTATAGGTTAATCAGTACTAAATGTTATACCTAGTAAGTGATGCGTTAACTAACAAGTATAGGATAAAAAACAATGATTAATATAGAGTGTACTATACAATGTCCTGCTTATTTATGAAATGACTTTCCCTTCAAATGTGAGGAATACCAGTAAAATAAAACATAATTTTTGATTTGGTTTGGTGATTGATATTCTAACTACATCTATTACAAACCTTAAGTGCTTTTAGTGAGTAACTGTATTTTTTATTATTCTTTGGTTTGGTTTGGTTTGGTTTGGTAAAGTAAAAAAATATATATTTTAAGAAATATAAAAACAATGCAATAGATATCAAACAGATTCATAAAAACTACTTACAGTTATTGTACATAATTATATATTTCAAGTGTTATTTGATGTTTGGTCCCATTACCAACATTACCTTATTTAGGTCTTCTCTACTAACTCAACTTTTAAACCTGTTTTAAACCTTCTTTATATTTTAAAACTGATTTACAACAATTTGTAATGCCCGCGCTGTTTCCTGAAATATAGGTTTTAATCTATTTATTATCATATAGTACATATATTACAAACCTGAAAATTACTGATACGAGGAAACTTCTCAAAATAATTAGAGACCTTTTTACAAACATCTGGACTAATTTATTTTCACGAATTTGTGAACGAGTCAATGTTTTCTAATACGTTTTTAAGCGTTTTACACATTTTGAATATCTTCCAGCCTATTCGTCAATTCTTGATCGGTGAAAAGATTATTTATAACTATATAATTAGTACTGCAAGTTGCAGGTTAAATAAAAGAACAAAATCAAGTAGAATTTGTGAATAAAAACTCAAAAAATAATGAAAATATTTAGAAAAAGGAACAGTAAACGTCAATGTCAGCCAAGTGTCAGAGTTCAATTGGATTTACCACAGATTATCAATTTGAGCGATTTGAAGTACAGTCGATTCCAGTTTAGAGATTTTCGTTTTTTAAGTCTCCCATACTGAAGTCCGCCATATTGGGAAGTTTTAAATGAATACAAGTATAGTTTGGATATGGCGTTTGACGCCTCAGCCTGAATATCTGTTGGTAATTAACTGATTTCGTTTTGAGCCAATTCTGGCTTCGATTCAATCAGCAATCGACACGAAAGAGAATTAAAAAATATTGACTCAAAACTGACAACTAAAGAGACAGCTTTATTTATTTGTCAAATTACATAGAAACCAACGCCAACCCAGTACAATATTTTTTCTACTCGTGAAATTAATTCTGTGATCTTTTCGGTCGATGATATACCATTTTATTGTCTTGTATAAAAAATAACTATTGTTTTGCTATACAGGGTGGCCCATCGAAAACGTTCCGCAAGGGATAACGGCCAGGGTAATTTTTTTTTCAGAAAATTCAAAAACACGTCAATTTTGTTTGTGAAGGCGACATCTTTTGCTCCAAAAATGATTGCAAAATCTTCAACCCTCTAAGCGGGGGTGTCAACCCCCAATTTTTTTCAAATGGGAAGGGGGCTCAAGTTGTACCGCAATGAAAAGGGTATTATTCTCTATACTTTTCGGCTTCGTTTTTGACAATCGGTCGAATCATTGAGAAAATATGAAGGATTGAAATTGAAAAAGAGTTTATTTAAACATTTATCAGAGTAAATGATAAGGATAAATTCCTTCGACCCTTTTGCTGTTTTTTCTTATTATTTCTAGATGTTTACGCATTTTTTCACTTGGCACAAGGTTGAACGATCAGGTCATAGACAAACAAATAAAAAGAGACTGACAAATCCCATGGTAAAAAGTGGGACTGCGTTCCCGTAGCGCAACTCAGAATAACAATTTTGAAACCAACTAGCAGGACCATGGCAGGACGTACGTCTTTATTGCTATCCTTCTTTATTATGTGTGCTTTATATGAAAAAGAAAGAGATAGGTATAAAACGTATCGTAAGACATTATCGCACATTCTGGCTGGCCGAAAATTTAAATTAGCCATTATTAGTAGTATCGTATTCTTTGATTATGAAACTGAAAATTTTCACTTATAATATCACAAGAGCTTAAATTATTTTCGGAAATTTTTTTGAGGGCACGAATATTTTGAAAATTATCCCGAGTCGAAGACGAGGGATATTTTTCCTAAAATATTCGTGCCCGAAAGAAAATTTCCAGGAATAATTTAAGCTTGCGTGGTATTCGGTAAGAAAATTTCACACCTAAATTTGAAAAAAAAAATATTAATCCAACATGACATTTTAAAATAATTTCAATTTGTTAAGTTGGCCAAGGTATTCAAATGGGTAATATTTCAATATATATAGACATTGTAGTTCATTCACATTATGATTGTAGATCTTATGTTTACCTTTTCAACTGTCAAAAAATTTCCACTAAAGTTTCGTGGCGCCTCGAAAAAATTTCCGGAAATTTTTTCAGTTGCCATGGTAACTAGTCAACATTAAAGCATGTTATTGGTTGAAAAGTAGAGGTGTGAAATTTTCACTTAAACTAATTTATACCCTATACCACGTAAAGGGAACGTGGTGTAGGGAATAAATCAGTTTACGTGAAAATTTGCAGTTTTTTTCAGAACGAAAGTATACTACTATTATAAGGGAAATTATAAAAAAGCAAAAATTGTACTGTTTTATAAACATATTTATTTATACATAAAAATAAATAAACCTTTTATAATATAATAACAATAAATAACAGTGTTTATTCCACCCACCTACCAATTTTAAATGCAGAAAAACTGACTGTTGCAGGAAACGATCGGCCAATTTTTTTAAAGGGCATTAAAAATCTTATTTTCGAAAAAACTGCCTAATAAATTTGCAATAACAAAGTGAATATCCAAGCAAAGAAGACTTTACGAGAATCATGATCCTGAACCATTTTCAAGTCCAGTTTTAATCCTAAAACAAAAGTAAAATAGGTATATTAATAAAGTTTCTGGTTACTATAAACCAGCTATAAAACTACCCAAAAAATGAAAAAAATTAATTGTATTAATTTGTTATGTTAAGAGAGGTTCGAAATGTTTTTGACACTACTACTTCTACTTTTTTCTTAATAGGTTGATAAATATAACATACTTATTTCTATTTTACCGGGTGTCTTTAACATATCTATCAGAGAAAGTGGGCACCAATACATATAAAAAATAGATGATACTGGCTCCTGCAGCAAATAAAATAACAAATAGTATAACCTAAAATTATAAGTAACAAAATATAAATACCTATCTGTAATAAAGGAATTTGTTCCTTATCCATATTCATAAGTCAATAAAATGGAGAGTTTAGAAAAAAAAAGGCAAATCACCAAAAGAAAAATTAACAAACCTGACGAATTGTCATGATATTGTCATCTTGGTTGTCATGATGACGAAAACGAAAGGCGATTGTTCTAATTTCTATTTAGAAATTACGTTTTATATGGTTACTTCTTTCTCTCTTGTTATATTAGAATGAGATAGTGGGCCCAATAGACGCAATGCGCAGATCAACATAAATAGAACGAAATTTTGCGTTCTGTGTTGCGCTACGGGAACGTTGTCCCTCTCTTTGCCATTTAATTTCTTAAGTCTATGCTCAAAACTGACAACTAAAGAGACAGCTTCATTTATTTGTCAAATTACATAGAAACCATCGCCAACCCAGCACAATATTTTTTCTACTAGTAATAAATTCCTTGAAATAATAATTTCTGAATATTTTTTTAAAACGTAACTTGCCATGGAAAAAAAAATGTTTTATACACGACAGTAACATTGCATTATCGTCTTGTATAAAAAATAACTATTACTTTGCTATATATTATACTTCTTTTAATTTAATTTTGTCTATGTTTACAGAAGAGCGCTGAAATTTGTCATGGCCCGACTCCGAACTGCCGTGGGTCTTAGGGAACAAACTAAATCGGCCGTTATACTAGGCGTCCACAAGACGCGATTGGCTTACAGGCAATTGGCCGTTAGAATGGTCAGGGACGGTCTGCTGCCCGGCGAAGATTTGATATTTCATTTAACGGATCACGAACTGAACGACCTTATCCAGAATGGGAACGTGGGTCTAGTTACGAAGTAAGTTGTTAAGAGGGTTAAGGTTAACCCCTTTTTAGTACCGAATATATACAAAAACGATTCGTTTAATACGGCTAGTTTCGTAAATATACCTACACGGTGATACCTACACTTAAGCCCCATCCCCCATCTCTCTAAATAACAAACCTTAAGGTCTTTATACAGGGTGACGCCTCTCATATGACGCGGAGGCTCCAAGGAGAACGACAGTTTGTATTAAAATGAAATGTTGTGAGCACGCGTAGGTTAATTCAGAACACTTTTTAAATTGCAATAAAAGCCTAACCTAAATTGGAATTTACCCGGTATAACCTAATATATAGTTAAAATAACTATTGCACTTTCAATTAAATTAAAACTTGGCCCAAAAACTTATACAGGTTGAGTCAAAATTAATGTTGAACATTGGTACCATCTAAAAGCAAATTACTCTTTTATTTTAAATAGAACACTCAGTATATTATTCCGATATTCATGTCTCTTTAAAATACTATTAAGGTTGCCTATCCCTCAGACAAATATTTTCCTAGATATTTCCACTTTTAAACGGTTTTATTTAGCTCGACCCGTACGGTATTTATTTATTTGTTTGTTTATTTGGGTCAAAATTAGAAATTGAAATTTAAGTACCTTCCTGTTGTCAAATTGATCTGAAATTTGGTACACACCTGTAGTTCCGATGACAATACAATATAGTAGTATCAATAACATTGTAAATCTAAGACGGCCGCCGGTACAAAATGGCGGATTTCATATTTTTCCACAACCCCCAAAATATGAGTATCAAATGAAAGGGCTACACTAGTAGAATACTGTGATTATGACAAAATTTAAAATCCAAGATGGACGTCGTTACAAAATGGCGTATTAGGTGAGGGCATGAGTAGTCGTGACCAGAACAGTTGTGTCCAAGATTGTGTGACGTTAGAAGGACAGATAAAAAAAATAGGTGATTAGATGTACCTACGTAGTTAGCGGTAGCTTTACCACCCAAGTTAAGGTAATAGGTTAAAACGTGCTGAGGACTGTATGGCATTAGGGTGGCTAAAAATGTAATGTCGCAGGCGTTTTCCCCTCAAGATTGGGCGCCTCTTGTTGTATATGATAGCCTTGCCCCTCTACTGGACCTCTGGGGGGGTCGACCGTTAAAATGTCCATTACTCGTGGGAACAACATGGAAACAATAAATAAAAAAACAAACAAAAATAAAAACGAAACTGCTACACAACGAAAAAGAAGGCTCGAAAAGGCGAAAGAAAAGTATAGAACGAAACGTGCAAAAGAAAGTGAAAATGAAATCTATAGTCGACTACAGAAGCGAAGAGAACGGTTAGCAACAGAAACACCTGAGCAACATGATGCCAGGTTAATAGCACAACGTGAGAGACAAAGGCAGCTGGTAGAGTCACAAACACCTGAGCGTCATGAGTCCAGGCTAGCATCACAACGTGACAGACAGAGAGAGTTGTTAGCGGCAGAAACACCTGAGCGTCATGAGTCTAGGCTGGCATCACAACGAGAGAGACAAAGAGAGTTGTTAGCGTCAGAAACACCTGAGCGTCATGAGTCTAGGCTAGCATCAGAACGCGACAGACAGAGAGAGTTGTTAGCGTCAGAAACACCTGAGCGTCAGATTGTAATAAATTATCAAGTAAAAAACAGTTGGTAGCACTGCTGAAACCGGCTAAAGATCCAGGACTGGCTAGTAGCTACAGACCGATCTCCCTGTTGTGTCATTTGTACAAAGTTTACGAGCGAATGATTCTCAGACGCATGGAGAAAATCGTAGAATCGAAACTTATTCCTCAGCAAGCGGGCTTTAGGCCGGGAAAATCATGCACTGGGCAGGTCTTGGCTCTTACAGAGCATATCGAGAGGGGATACGAGGAGAAGCTGATCACTGGAGTCGCTCTTGTCGATTTAACCGCCGCATATGATACCATCATTCATAAACACCTCCTAACTAAAATATATGCTACAATTAAGGATTATAACCTGGTAAAAGTGATCGAGACAATGATGCAGAACCGACGCTTTTATGTCACTCTGAACAATAGTAAGAGCAGATGGAGAACTCAAAGGAATGGGCTGCCCCAAGGAAGCGTCTTGGCGCCAATGCTATTTAATATATATACCAACGATCAACCTCTCCCTGCCTACTCAAAACATTTTCTTTATGCTGACGACCTGGCAATAGCTGTACAAGATACCAGCTTTCCCAGCGTCGAACAAAAACTGGAAGGTGGACTTAACACAATGGCTAGTTACTACGACCGGAACTCACTTAAACCCAACCCTTCCAAGACGCAGGTTTCCGCTTTCCAACTACGCAATAGAGACGCTGCAACAAAACTTAATATCTGGTGGAGAGATAGTTTACTGGAGCATACAGAAAAGCCGAAGTATCTCGGAGTGATACTACACAGGACCTTAACATATAGGTACCACTGTCAGAAAACTCGCAAGAAAGTCAGCGCTAGAAATAACATTTTGAGAAGGCTACTGGAAGCAAGTGGGGCGCAAATCCATCTGTCTTAAAAACAACTGCACGGGCTTTATGTTTTTCAACGGGAGAATATGCCTGTCCTGTATGGAATAGATCGAGCCATGCCAAACAAGTTGATGTTGCTTTAAATGAAACGTGCCGAATAACAACAGGGTGTATGAAAGCAACAAGCTTATTTCAACTTTACAGAGCCTCCGGATTTGCAGCTCCCTCACAGCGGCGCAAAGCGGCTGAACACACTGAAAAGTTTAAACAGATGTTCGACGAGCGCCATCCGCTTTTTGGCGAGTTCCAAGGATCAAGCAGACTCCGATCTCGGAAAAAACTTTTAAAAACTGTTCAAGAAGATCCACCGCTTGATTATCCTCTTAGAGAAGAAGATTCTGCAGGCCAACATCTTGATTGGGTCACGTGGAAGTCCCTAAACCGCATCAGAACAGGAGTAGCGCCTGTTAAAACCAACAAAGCGAAATGGGGACTTATCACGGATGAAGACACAAAATGTGAATGCGGCGAAATCCAAAATATGGAGCATGTGCTGTCATGCATAAGATGCCCTCATACATGTACCCTTGAAAATTTATGGAACGCCGATGAAAATGCTTTAGACGTCGCCCGGTACTGGGCTAAAGAATTTTAAATTATAATTGTACATTATGTACCTATATGGTCCGGATACGAAAAAGTAAAGTAAAGTGCCATAGGTAGGATTTCAGAGGGGCCCCACGTTTTTATTTTAGTCTAATATGCCTAAAAGCTATTCTGCCTAGTACTAAAATATTTCTGAACTAGAAGTTCAAAATACCTAATTGTTATTATTATTTTCTAGTTTTCAGTGCACATAAGATAAAACCGTTTAACTTAAAAGTTTTTTACCGATTTTTTATATGATTTGTAGTTTGATTTCCATTTTTATGATGATTAGTTTTATGTCAGTAGATAGTTACTATTTGATAAAATCTAGATGGCTGTTTTATACCTTGTATTAGGAACGATGTATTCAAGAAAGAATGCCGCGTACTTTTCTAAATTGAAGTTCAATAAAACACAAAGTTTATTTAATCGGGATGAGTTGCATAGAGGCCACAAAGATCTTAATATAAGGGAGCCACGGGATTATACTCTAATGAACTCGGCATGAAAGATGTTACTATTAGTAGACTTCAACACTAAGCTCGAACTGTTGAGTGACTGTAACTTAACTATGAGACTAGACTGCAAATAATACTACTAAAAAGATTTAAGCAATTTATTGAAATATCAAAAGTTAAACGTATAAGGAAAAGAATGAAATAATGTGTGAGAAATGAAATTTAAATCAATAAGAACTAACTAAAAGTATGACGTCATAATCCCCCTTACTTAAGTTAAGTACAATATCCTGGGTGGATTACAAATAGCAAACCGAATCCTTACTCTAAGTCTTGAAACTACTCGGAAGTTCCTCCGGCTGAGCTACGGTGTATAGCTATGGGGTGGCTACAGCAGGGTACAGCAGCTCGGTGTACTGTCACTGGAGCCCACCGATGTCAGCAAAGGTACAGATGCAAGGCAGGTGTTTCAAATGATGAACATAAAAACCCTAAATAATATTGGTTGTCTTAGAAAAGGGCCACAATTATAGAACAAGGACTAGCACAACGTGCAGGAGTTAGTAAAGGTAATAAAGAAGGACTAATTAGATCTGAACTTTACCTCAACGAGGGTTTATGATGTCCAACGGGTACCTCTACACGGGCAATCAGGAACGGATGGAATTGTGGACTGTTCTGTGCTCTACGATCTGTATCGGACTTCTTGCTCTATAATTACGAACAACCAAATAAGATTTAAGAAAGATAACACTCAACTTATCTTTCTACACCACGTGGGCGTGGAAAAGTCGGAAACCAGACAACAATATGAACAAAAATCAGTTGAGCATTGACTTAGAATAGGCAGAAGAATTATAGCATACCTTGGAACTATTCGGGGACTTCTTGGGCACGTGGAATCGGAATATCGGTCGGAAAAAGGCAATTTTAATCCCATTACGGAAATTGGTCGGCGGTCCATCAAATCACAAAATACATCTCTGACCAAATATGTTCCGGAAGACTTAATCCTTCTCTAGGAAGACCTGCTAACTACCAACAGGGAATGCTTCACGAAACGGTAGCCAGTTCTTCACGACGATACCCGGTCGGTGGATACACAAGAAGTGATGCAAGGATTCGATTTCCTTCACAAAATCAGATTTCAACCGGAAATCTCCCTCCAGGATATACATAGCGAACTATATACCTACTCTAGTCCAACTCACAAAAAGGCATAAATAACAAACGATGTTCTAGAATATTTTCTACATACCATATTCCATATCCGGTCAATGAACGAACTTAACTCAAAAATTCCCACAATTAAATGAACGAATTGCACACTGTGATCCACATCAAAAATAACCAATTTAACTACGAAATTTTATCTGATAATTATAAAATTTTAATAACCAAAA